GATGAGTTAAATTCTCTTCCCATTAACAAGCTTCTAGGATAGATATTTTTTCCTTTCAGAAATTCTAGAACTATCAAAAATCTACGCAGAATAATTTTAATTTTGTTTTTAAACATTACACTTTTTCGACTTGAGAATTTGTTTTACGGCGTAATTTTACAACACTTTTTTCCTTTCAAGAACTCTAAAACCAAGGCCTATCTAATAAGGCAGAAGTGACAACTAGCTAGAGCTCTCTTGTAGCTAGTTATAATTAGGGGATTCACAAGACGTGTTAACCGTCGTAAAATCTTAAGCTTAACACTTGTTTATGTAAAATAGCGGTTAAAATGGTTGGGGGGTTGGCTAATTATATATTCTTTATCAGTTTAAAAGAATTTCGGTTTAGTTAGAAATCCCCTAAAACCATTTTAATTAAAAAAGATGTTAACCTTAAGATTTTACGACGGTTAACACGTCTTGTGAATCCCCTAAATGTCAAAAAACTTTAAACAAACAATTTAACCTTTTGAGGTGTGAGAGCTATGTTTGCTACAAATTAGTATCAGTTGAAACGCATCAGCATAAATACATACATACACATGTACTTATACTAATTTTCAGAATTACTTCAATACAAATAATAAATTATGTTGCTGGCAAACGTCAAACTGCCCCTCAATGATTTTACCTTGCAATGCTTTTATCATCATTAAAAACATTCCTTGTTTATCAACATACTTTTTCAATTTTCTTTTGGTTTTACTTCACTCAGTACTGAGGTATTTACTTTATTCAAATATTAACGAATTGATAATATTTTTTATTGAAATACTTTGTATGGATAGAGGTTTATAACTAATGGTTTATATACACATATATGTATACATACATCCGCATATATCGTAGTGCTGAATAATAAATTCCATTAAAAATATTACATACTTATAAACCTTAGTCGGCCTGTTACTGTACATTTATACATACATATGTATGTTTATATAAACAATAATTGCTCGTTTAAGGTAAGTAATAAGATTACACTCGACTGAACTCACTTTTTTTTATTAACTCACTTTTGTTAATTAAAAGGGCGCACGTGTTGCCTTCTTTGCAGTTAAAAAAAATTATTATTCAACTAGCCGGCCTATCATGCGCGAGCCTTTGCCATGCGCTGGATGTGTAGATATTAAATGAAGTGCGATTGACAACTAAACAGGTTGCAACCCTACTAAAATATAATATATACATAATTGCGCATCTGGAGGCCAAAACCTTTCATTTGACACCTATTTTCTTGTAATCTAACGAACATCCACACTATTTTATTTTTAGCACAGCTTGCGACCCCCTTCGAAAAATAAAACCTTACTGCAAATTGGAAGGTCAAGTCTTTTCCTTTGACACCTCATTTTTTTTTAAATTGAATGAACTGTGCAAATCTAATGCCATTAACCAAAAATGCCCTCGCGTATTATAAATACATAATTTTTAAATAGGTGGCAACCCCACTCAAACGAAAAATAAAAACTTATTGCTCATGCAGGGACCATATTCTTTCACTTGGGGTCTCAGTTGTTAGTTCAACAAACGGTGAAGATCTTATAATTTTAAAAAAGTGGCAACCCTAGTCAATAATACATTATTTAACATCCAAAAGCCGATCCCTTTTATTTGACACCTCATTTCTTGCAATCCAACGAACAGTGCAGATCTAAAATTGTTTTTAGACATATATAGGAATTTAAAGTACTAAAGATAATATTCCTATCGATACACCGTTCAGTAGTTTTTGAGATTAGCGTGGTCAAAATATCTCGACTTTCCTTTATACTATGTATAGAAGATAGTAATTTTTAAATAGGTGGCAAGCTTTTGTACACGAGAAGGCCAGACCCTTTCATTTGGTGTCTCATTTTGTAATCCTACGAACGGCAAAAATCGTTTAACTTTTTAATAGGTGGCAACCCTACTAACCCTAGAAAATAATACATTATTGCACATGTAGAGGCTAAGTCTTTTCGTTTGACAGTTACGGTACAGAACTGATGTCTACGCTTATTAAGATTGAATATAGTAATTTTATTAACAGGTGGCAACCGTATAAAAAAAAAAAAGTAGTGCTTTTCTAGAGGTCAATCCCTTTCATTTGACACCTCATCTTTTGTAATCCAACGAACGGTGCGGATCTTATAGTTTTTTAGACAGGTGGCACCCCTATTAAAATTCTAAGCAAAAAAGGTCACTCTCCTGTCGGTACATAGTAGTATATTAGAGAAAATCTCGTCAAAAACCGTTCAGTAGTTTTCGAGATTACCGCGTACAAAGAATTTCGACTTTATATTATGTATAGATATGTAAATAGTCTATCAGTTGTTCCAAACAATGTACATATTGATATAAAAAGAGACAGAACAGTATTTGTCTGTACTATTAATTCATATACAAATGTGTGATAAAAAGTCAATTTTGAAAAATTTTGAGTTGTGACACTTTTGTATTTAGTGTGACATACTCATACACACATACATATATAAATATATTTGTTTACCTTTCGTTGGCGCATCAACTTTACTACTTCGACCAGTGGAAGTGTCACCAGTTGATTCCGAATCGGTGGTATAGTGGATGGACCTTTTCGCGGCAGTAGAAAATTTAGTAGGGGATACACTATCGCATAGATGATTTTAGCTATAAATTGCAACAACCGCACTAGTAATTCCATTTTAATCGGAAATAGAACAAATTCAAATATAATCAAAGCACAAGGTCGTTCGGCTAATTAAAACAAATAAATAAAATAAAATAACGACAAGAAATATGAATGCTGTTGATCTTTATTTAGAAGAATAACGAATAAATTGGAAAATTCCTTACGTAGCCGGGCACACGACCGCTATGAGTGAGTGAGCGTAGCGTACTGACCGCTATTCGGCTGTTGGAATTAGCATTTGGAGCACATGCTAAATAAGCGCAGCTGAGTAGCTGCTAAACAAGTAATTTACTATGTATAAATATGTACTGCATATCGTCGTTTAAAGTACAAAACCGCGTATCGTCGTTCTGCAAAACCGCGTAACTGACATTTGCTGCCAAAAAAGACATCTGCTCACCGGAAGCTCCTGGCATCATGCCCTTATCCATTTCTACTAAAATTTCGATTCTTGGACATAAAAAGAAGAGATAATTAGGGATAAAGGAGAGAACCGTTTTGAAATAGGAATAGCTTTACTCTCACCTAAAAAATCTTGGCGAGGTTTTGCATTTTGTCGATACGCGGTTTTGTACTTTAAACGACGATATACCTTATACGGGCAGAGTAATCGTTTTAATTGAAAGTGCATTGGCATCGTTCACATTTCGCTATAGTGCTTACACTTACGGCTTTATATTGGCATCGAAGTAACCGACTTTAAAAACAAACTACTAAATCAGCTGTTTTCATTTGCTTCGTAAGTTTGGCATACATAATTGCCGTTCCTCTTCAATAAGAGCTGTAGGCAGAAACGTTTGGAATTTGGAACATATCGAGTATGCCAATCGTTTAATAACAATAATAATAACAGATTGGCGCTTACACATATGTTAGTGTTTGGCCGAGCCTCTCCTCCGATTTATGGTGTGCCCCTTGATGTTGTCACACAAATCGTAGGGACCTACAGTTTTACGCCGACTCCGAACGGCGATTGTATTTTTATGAGAAGCTGTTTTTCATGGCAGAAATTCACTTTTGCCATTGCCTGCCGAGGGACGACCGCTGTTAAGGAAAAACCTTTTTTCTATATTTTTTGCGATGTTGCTTTGACCAGTGTTTGAACCCAGGTGTTGATGAGTGAAAGCGCGCACTGCTTACCACTAAACCAATCGTTTAGCTATGGAAAAACTAAAAGTGCAGATCGATAGTACTTTCTACGCTGATTTCAATGATATCAAAATTATTTAACGCAAGTAAAAAAAATATAAAGGGGTTAAATTTAAAATTTTCCATATTTAAAAAAAATCAATATCTTATGAACTACATAAACAATTAAAAAAGTAATGATGTCAAAATAAAGACAATTATTTTATCTTTCGGTTTTAGCATATTTTATACATTTGATTTTTTGTATCTTTATTGTAGTATTTTTACTAAGCAAAATTCTCTTTTCTGTGTTTCTATAGAACAGGAGCTCTTCCCTGCAAACCAAAGTTCCCGAAATCTTAAGGAAATCGTTAGAAGTATCTCATTTCTGTAACGATTTTTTTACGAATTTTCAAAGAAAATTATATGAAGTGGTTGACACGAACTCGTAAAGAAATTTCTGCACGAAAAATAGAGAAAATTCTGAAAGATATTCTTCACATAGCACCATTATTTTCGTTGCTTCACAGATTTTCTTCCGAAATTTCGTAAAAGAATGGAAGAGTGCGTAATTTATTTCATTTTAGAAAGTTCGGCAAAAAATCGAATTAAATCTTAACGAATTCTTTAAAATTTCTTTACAATGCAGAATACTCTGAAAAAAAAATGGTTTGCAGGGTTGTTTGAATGAGCTAAATATGTAAGTATATGTAAGATAACCACTTGCTTGTAAATATATTTATAATTTTTATTATCACTGAATTCATAAGACTCAAAAGCAAATCATAATAAAGTTTTTATATCGAATAGGATTGTTGATATTATATCGATATCGATATTGATGATATTCTTTTTTCCTTTCCGATATTATTGGCGCGATATTTTCTTTGAACGATAATATCAGACAGATATCAATGTTTTACGTACAAATATCGCCTAGTTAGCAGTGAAAATACTTCTTGTGTTTATATGGTTAATTTCTTATATCAGTTCAACCAACTCTAATAAATACATGTAGGAGGTATTAAATAATGAATACTTTATATGTATATAGACCACGTTAGCATTAGCCTAAGATAGATTGCTACGTATTGAAAATGAGGAAGATTCCACTACAAACTACCGCCCAAAATATTCCAGAAAGATGTGGATACTCACAATCCGTTACAGAAGGGGATGGGCAAATTGTATTCATTAAATACTACTTAAGTGCAAAAGTATTTAGGTATTGAATAAATACTGAATACTTAAATACTAAATGCTATTTACTCACTATAACATTAAAGGATTTCGGGATTTTCAGAACTATTTGGAGGATTTTTGCAACTATTTCCAGGTTTTCGGGGCTGCTTCGAAATTTTCGGGACTGTTGCCGGATTTTCGAAACTACTTCGGGATATACCGAATTTTCGAGACTTTTGGGATAGTCCGGTATTTGGGATTTTCGGAATTGTTTCCGGATCTTAGAGGCTACTTCGGGATTTTCTATACTATTTCGGCTCTTTGGGACTACTTTTAGATTACGCTAAGCTGAGATGAGGTGAATTGGGTAGAGTTAAAGTGAGATGAATTTAAGTGAACGCAATTTAAGTGATGTGAGTTAAGTCGATGTGAAGTGAATTAAAATGAGTTGAGTTGAGATGAGTGGGGTAAATTACGGTGAGATGAGGTGAGTTAAGCTGAGTTGAGTTGAGTGGGATGATTAAAAGTGAGTTGAGAAGAAAGTCGAGGTAAGTTGAGTGAGGTGAATTAAGGTGAGTTGAGGTGAGTTAAAATGATTTGAGTTGAAGTGAGGTGAGTTGAATGGAAGTGAAGTGAGTTAAGTTGAGGTGAGTTTAAGTGAGATTAGTTGATGTGAGCTGAGATGAGTTGAGTTGTGGTGAGTCGAGGGGAGTTGAAAAAGGTTAATTAAAGTGAGTTGAGTTTTGGTGAGTTGTACGTCTGTCTATCCATCCATTAGATGCGATAATTTATATGTACAGAATAGTAGATCTTTGAGTTGTAAATGGTCTTGACATTTCGTTCAATGAGCTGAGTTCATATAAACTTTTAAGTTTACGCATTTCTAATGGTGCTTTCGTTTCTACCAAAAAATGTTGCCTCTTGATTACCTATTTCTCTTTTCGTATTCAACTCTAAATTAAATGCGTAGGGAAAGAAAATTGTGTGTTCGTTTTTTAAAATGTTACATTCTTGTAAGGCAAAAAATCATTATCTGCCCTGTGAAGTTTTGTGAGAGGAGATGGTTTCCCTGAAAATAAGATGGTTGTTTAAAACGGCAATATTATGAAATCCGAGAGCTAGACAAGGACAAGAAGGCAAAAACATGCCTTTTTACAGGGTTGAGTGTAACAGCAAACACATTTTGTACCGGGGAAGGGCAACATTTTTTGGAAGCAACGAAATCACCAAACTTTGCTTGCACGGCTAGATGAGTAGATACCATTTATGTTTTTTATGTGAAAATTTTACATACATACACATGCCATGAACGAATCACCCCAACCTACACGTAAGAATATGAAATTGAAAAAGTCAGTTTTTTGAGCGGAATCTCCGCCTGCTAGAAAACGAGAGAAAGGCAAACAATGCAGGCTACAGAATCAAAAGTTATTGTCAGTCAGTAATTTCAACTTGAATTAAATCTTTTATAGTTGAGACTGCTCGTTAGGTAAACAGAAGCACAGCAGACGAGCCGGTTTTCAAATACCTGTTTATTCATAAGCAGCTACAAATGAGTATAACGCTGTACTCTTGAGTGATCTTGTCTATTTCGTTTATTGCATAATCCGATACAGTATATTGATAATGCAACAGCGATAAGATTACCGACGTGTAAAGTTCTGAACACATTGAAAACGATGAGCTACGGGCCACAGCTTCCAATTTGTTATCTTGATTATCATGGGCGTAGCCCGGTAGGGGCAGGGGGGTGCTCGAGCCCCCCCTAACTTTCAAATTTTCCTTGTATATATATAAAATAGTACCCCGAAATGCCAGCTTAATAGGGTCGCAGCAGCAGCGACATGATGAACTTGTATGAGTTTGACATAAAGGCAGAGGAAGATCCTTATATGTCGCTGGAAAAATAGAAATAGATCTAAACTGGCCACAACAACAGTCGTCGCGTAGCTCTGTCGTCGCCAAAATAATTATCTACATAAGAGTACGTTCTTAAAATAATTTGACAGCTGTGGTCCGTAGCTCGTCGTTTTCATTGTGTTCGGGCTATAAGTCAAATTCAAACAATGGTGGGGTAATTGAATAAAATGATTCGAAACAGAGAGAGAAAGAGGGACACATGTTGAGAGAAACAGAGAGAAAGAGAGACAGATAGTGAGATAAAGAGGCAGTAAGAGATATCGAGATGGTCTGATGCTGGAAACACATTGAAAGCGACAGTCTACAGGCGACAGCTTTAAATTGTTTATCTTAAATATCTCAACTCTTTGTCGAAGGTGCCATGAATTTATTTAAAACGGCAGGTACATGATACATTTTTTAGAGTTCTACATAAAAGAAAAGGACGAACCTTGGCTGTTGCTCGAAAAATAGAAATATGTATGTATATCTAATCTGGCCACAATCAGTCAATCAGGCTTACAGTGGGTCAAAATTAGCATTGTGTGTTCACAATTTACTTGAGCCTTCATTTTTTCACCGAATTTGATTAATTTTTTTAATCAACGCTAATAAAATTTGCAAGACAGATTTTTTGTATTAACCATTTTAGTTCAGATTGCAGAGAAGGCATAATTTTGAAATGTTATAAAAAAAAGTTTTTCACCAAAATTAATAAGTTTTATTTTTGGTTTTTATAAAAATTTTGGGTACGTCATTTTATAGATCATTAAATTTCAATACAATAAAACGCAAGCTTCAAGTGGCTAATTTTGATGTGCTAGAAATGTTAACGAAAAAAATATTAAAAATCGAAAAATCTTAGCCACTTGTAAATTGCACTTTATTATACTAAAATTTGATGATATATAAAACTGCACAGCCAAATTTTTATAAAAAAAGCCAAACTAAAAAATTAATTTGGTGACATTTTTTATAACATTTAAATTTTTTTTTTGGGAGAACCCTACAATAGTTTTCAACTTGTTTTTAGTATGTAACATTTATTAACTCGAACAGGATAACCGATTTTCTTTAAAGTTGCTACTTATTCTGCACTTTGCACAAAATAGTTTAATTCAAACAAACAAACTTTTAAAAATCGTGCTCAACTGATTGATCAAAATTAATCAGATTGAGTGAAAAACGAAGGCTCCAGGAATTGTGAACTCAAAATTCCAATTTTGAAACACTGTGCGGCGGTAGTTAGATGAAATGTTTAGTTTTGTAAAACTAAATCTTACTGGTTATTCCCGTTTTTCTTCAACGATAATAATTGCAGCTATTTAAATAATATACATATACACACGTAAAGGCATACTTATACACATGTGGTACGCACATTTTTAAAGTACCTAAGTATTTATTTATTTTATTTATTTATTTATTAAGCCTACAGAAAAATGTTTTCTTACAGACAAATTGAGATAATCGATAAAAACGGCAAATGTCATAAAATATGGACCTTGATCCGTAGTAATTGTTTCCTTAGGCACAAGCACTTGACATATTCTGTTGTCCACATAATGTCATGTCATGTACCCAAGTGACAGTCGCACTTGAGTCGCTGGGTTTTGATCTTCTCATATGTACTAGGGATGTATTAGTCCCGGGATTTAGATATTAATTATTTTTCAACAACTTGAATCGAAAAAATTGCTTCTATATTGTTTGAGAAGCTCTCCTACCATAAAATAAATGGGTTCGAAACCTACTTTTTTATTTAAAGTATCGTTTTTATTTATTTTTTCTCTGAACGCACGATTTATTTTGAAGGTCTTTGTGATTTCAGAGATATGATTAATTCAAAAAATTGTTAAAAAAATCCAATGCAATGTAAAATAAAAATATGGGTAACAAATGCAACAGGAAATTTCTTTAGAATTTAAAAAATTTAAATTTTTTGGATTCACAAGGACGGATAGGTAATTTTTAGAATTCGTTAGAAGAAAGAAATTCGAGGCTGTTATCGAGTTTATATAAGCCCTTAAAATATAATTTCTTTCAAAAACAAATATTGCGAAATTTTAATGAAAACATTTTAAAATAACATTTTCAATATTTACCAGCCCTTCTGCACCAGAAACTTGAATTAATTTGTTTAAATTCTACAGGATTTCCTCAATAATTTTATACCCATACTTCTTCTCTAAGCACATTTCTATGAATTTTTTAAATCATTTTTGAATTACTGACGTCAGAGTGAAAAACTAAAAACGCAACTTTACTATATTTGGCCCAGGGTTTCGCGAATATATTGGTATTTGGGTTTAAAATTTATTATCGCGCGGTGTTGTATGTATAATGAGCAAGCCATTTATAAAACAAAATTTTAATTATTAAATAAAAAACGAAATATAGCCAATACCGGTCAAGAAAAGGAGTTTCTATTATTGCTATCAGTGCAAATTACAAATCCCGAAAATCCCGGGATTACTTGCCAAGAATCCTGGGATTTACGAGAACTTAAAAAGTCCGGGATGTACGTTCATCCAAATAATGGGATAAGAAAACGTTGTAACTAAAACATGCATGTACATCAACGTACACCCACACACACATACCTTGTAAATACACACAAACATATACATAAATACAGAATGAGTAAAAGTTGTATTGTTAGACTTAGGAAATTACTTATAAATAAACGCTCCACCTATGATGGAGTCAGTTATACGTTCATCTCTAATACATGTAAGCTTTACGGTATTTAACCAGAAGTTACAGGGAAAGCGTTCCACCGGCCAAAAATCTGCAAAGGTGATCACTTCTGTAAAGGCAGTGTCACACGATTGGACATTTGCCCAAAATTTGGTGCAAATCTTATCTCAATCATGTAAATGCACAAATAGGTTTCGTAATCCTAATCACGAAAAAAA